TGAATAATTTAACACCAGCGCTGACGAGTGTAAGCTTTGGGCAATGTGTTAATAGGAAGGTAGAATTTGTTGTTTTACATCAAACAAGAATGTTGGAAGCTTTGTCATTACTGAACATACATGCTCCATTTCTGCAGCTTGACTGCCCTGTGGTGATCGCTGCCATTTTTATCGCTGGCATTGGAGGGACGTTTCAGTATGGATTCAGTGTATCTGTGTTGACCTCCCCCTCTGTTGTAAGTAGAACTATTATTTTTAAAGATCACAATATAATGTAATATAAATTAAGAGACATGCAAGAAGTTATTTTGTCAAAAGGTTTTAAAGGTTCAGTGTGCAGAATTTAGTGACATCTAGTGGTGAGAGTGAAAGTGAACCTTTGGTAGCATTCAGTTGTCATAATACTCAAAAGATGTTTAGTTTGTCCAGTTTGTACTTCCGCAAAAAACATGGCGGCCTCCGTAGAGAGGATGGGCTCCCGATGTAAAAATAAAGTATCTAATTACAGCCCACTAAGCACACTAGTGAAAACGTCACTGAGATTATTTTATATTCAATTTCTGCCAATAGTTCCCTTTCACCTAAATCTTACAAACTGGACCTTTAAACACAACTGCATGACACCTCTAAGGAAAAAACATGATGAATGCTGCTTTTAAAGAAAAGTGATATTATAATATATATTTAATGCACTTGTGGTTTGTTCAGTTTATAAAGGAGCTGGTGAACAACACGTGTCAGCAGAGATATGGGCTTTCGCTGGAGCAGTGGCAGGTGTCTCTCATCTGGTCCTTCACTGTCTCCATTTTCTGCATTGGGGGGTTACTGGGGTCAATGGTGGTCGGCCCATTGATGTCCAAATACGGCAGGTTAGTGGACACAAACAGAGAAGACACAACTTCTACTAACGTCACATCGAAGAAGAAACAACATTTTTAGCTTTGTTTTCCTGATTATAATCTGTCTCTGTCTCCTTATCCATCAGAAAACAATGTCTCCTGTTAAACAATTTTGTGGCTATTTTTGGAGCCCTGTTGATGCTCTTCAGCCAGAAAGCCACGTCCTTTGAGATGATCATGGCGGGAAGATTCCTCTACGGCATCAATGCAGGTAAATCTACCCTGTGTGGAAAGCTATTACATCTCTTTCTTTCTTTCTCTTTCCATCACTCTCAAACAATCAATTTCTATTTATACCTGCGACTATTATATTTCTAAGTTCTCTCAGCCATTTGTCAACCAGTCATTGATCAGTATTGACTCCCCTGAAAATGTATGATTCCCTCATGGACGCCTCCAGGAGTCAGTCTTTCCGCTCACACCATGTACCTTGTTGAATGCGCCCCCAAGAGGCTGCGAGGGATGGTGGGAGTGACCATCTCCACCTTCATCTCCTTGGGCAAGTTCTGTGGTCAGCTGCTGGGGATCAGGTGAGGTGTCTCACAGTTACTGCGTAGAGTCGATCACTACGGGAGCAGGTGGTGGTCAGTTCAAATGACAGCTCAGGGGTCTTAATGAAGGGATGTGTTAAGGGAGATATGAATTTTCCTCTAGCACCACCATGAGGCTGACATTTCAGGTTTTTGTGAAATATTATAACATCTATTAATAAAAATAAGAATAATTACAATAATAAGAACAACAACAAAAATAATGATAATAACAATAATTATTATTATTTGTTTGTATTGCATATATAAAATAAAAGCATGTTAAAATATAATTCACACTCAAAGCCTGCTTTGCCTTACCTGTAGCCTCGCTCCTGAGCTGATGTCTCTCTTGCAGTGAGCTACTTGGAACAGAGCAGAGGTGGCCCTGGCTCCTCGGTTTCAATGGTTTCACTGCGTTGCTTCAGCTCTCCACCCTGCCCTTCCTGCCGGAGTCACCCAGCTTCCTGCTCCTGAACAGAGGCGACCGCGAGGCCTGCAACAAAGGTGTGAGAAAGCATTTTTTTAACCTCAGGGGAACCCTTTCCATAAATAAGAACTTTTTTCACATTTTTCGTGATAGTGTTATCAGTTATCACTGACTAAATCTTTGTTGTGCGCCCTCAGCTTTAAAGAGGCTGTGGGGCGATAAGGACTACACCCGGGAGGTGGAGGAGATGATGAAGGAGAAAGCAGCCATGCAGAACGTCCGCAACCACACAGTGATGGAGCTGATTCAGAACCAAAATGTCCGCTGGCAGCTGATCACCATCCTCATTACCTTCACTGGACTGCAGCTCTGTGGCATCAATGCTGTGGGTAACACAGAATATACAGGGCGATTTTGAAGTTCAAATATACAGAGCAGACTGAACTGGAAAGATTTTTCATATATTAATAAATGACCATCATCAGTGTCAGAGCTTTGAGCAAGGAGGATTACTGATTAACCTTCAAAAATAGAAAATCTGAAGAAAAATCCTTCCTTGCTAAAACCAAACACAGACCGTGTGCACGTCTGAATTCTTAAACATCTTCTCTTTCTGGGCTTTATTCTCCAGGTCTACTTTTATTCTTTTGATGTGTTTCGTGCAGCAGGAATTCAAGAAGGGCAGTTACGTTACGCTGCGTTGGGAACGGGGCTGTGTGAGGTGTCCACCTCTATCGGCTGTGTGAGTCTCATTTCTCTGATGTCACGTCATGTCCCACATCAGTTTTTATGGTCTATGAAATATCCGTTACACATCCTGACAGGAATGTTTCAGTGATTTAGGGGAATTATTATAAGAAAAGGCCTGTTCCTGATCCCTCAGTGTTCTCCTGTAATGAGACCCTAATGTGCACTTACAGCTTCCTCGTGTGGTCGGCTGGTGAAATTGTGTTTGATGTTGCAGTTCATGATTATTGAGAACATGGGGAAAAAAGTGCTGCTGTTCAGAGGATACATGGGGATGTCAGTGACGCTGGTTCTCCTCACCATCACTCTGTTCCTGAAAGTGAGTCGCCTCTAAATCAGCCGCTGTTGCAACTTATCTCTGCAGAGGTTGATGACGACTGACAGCCACTGACATTACTCACAAATGTCTTTCTTTCCTCCTCAGACTCACATCTCCTGGATGCCGTACTGCAGCATGGTCCTTATTTTCATGTTCATCTTTTGTTTTGCCTGTGGACCATGTACGTTAAACCACTGGAGAGCTCAGCTGTTTATCAAGGGTTTCATTTTTAAGTATTTCCTCTTTGAATCAACAATGAGCTGCATAAATCTCCCTCATGTTCTTGTCCTTCAGCCGGAATAATAGCTCCTCTTCCAGGGGAAATCTTCACCCAGTCATTTAAATCAGCTGCATACACCCTCGCCTGCACTCTCAACTGGACAGGCCTGTTTGTGCTGGGGATGCTCTTCCCTGTCTTAGTGGTAGGCACGTTCTTTTCCTGGTAGAAATGTGTGTGTTTTTTAACTGGAAGAGGTGAATTGAGATCAAATGCTTCACTCACAAATGTCTTTTCAACATCTTTCCTCTCCAGGAGAATCTGGGTTACTTTTGCTTCCTCATCTTCCTGTTCTTCTGCACCGTCTGTGGCCTGCATGTGAGGTTCAATGTCCCTGAGACCAAGCACAAGTCAGCGCTGGAGATCGCTGCAGACTTCGACAGGATGCATCGCAAATCTGGGGAATCAAAGAAACAATCCACTGAGCAGGGCCTCAATGGAGTCAAAACATGCGAGACCAGATTCTGATCATTTTCGCCAAACATCAACAGTTTCAATTGCGTTCTTGTGTTTTTACATGTGTGTGTGAGAGAGTGTGTGTTATTATTTTTGTCTTTTATTGAACTTTGAAAAGAGGATTGGTGCAAGTGTAGAGACTTTTCATCTTTGTCCTTGTGTGTGTGTGTGTGTGTGTGTGTGTATGTGTGTGTGATCAGGCATCAGACCATCTAGTGACCAGTTGCTGCAGAGGGTGGGGAGGCCACTTTTGCATTGTCTGTGTTTATCTACAAGAAACATGTGTGGTGGGCATTCACTTTTTTTGAGGTACTTTATCTGATGTTTCTTCTCCAGTAGATTTCTGAAACAAATATTGTTCTTTTTGCATCAGTACATTACTTGAACAACTGTACCCTAATCTTATAAAAATACAATAAAAGAAAGTATATACAGTACGATGAAGTAGTTAAAATGGCATCTGCATCAATGAACTGCTGTTCAATTCATCTACTGTGATCTATATTTAACTTTGACACAAGGGCTTCTGCCTTTGTATAACTGACACTAACAAACACAACTTCACATTAACAATATTTCATTGCATCATATATGAGCAGACTCAACAACCTAAATAACAAACCAGACAAATGAATATTATATGGAAAAAGGTTTACGGCCCCACATGATAATAAGTCTAATAAATAAATACAATAATATAATAATAACACTCTATAAAATGTCACCTTTGCTGTTCTTTTGACCTAAATTCACATTAAGAATTTAAGAAAAGGAAAAGAACAAGAAAATAACCAGCTTTTATGGTTTTTAAACAAAAATATATAATTCTAGACTAAAAAGTGAAGCCTCTAAATCAGCTTATAATGAGCACATAGACGTTTTATTAAATTTAACTTTAAACAATGACTCATTCTCTTCAAATAGACCATTAATCCTGCCTCTATAAAGTAAGGGAGGTGTTGTGCTCTGAGTTTCTTCTTATCTTCACGTACATGGTTCGTGTTTGAGGTGAAATTAAACCTTGAAATGTGTGAGATCTTCTTGTTTTGGTGAACTTGGCAGAGCTGCGGGTCACAGCAGGACTGGTGCACCTCCGGGAAACTCCTTGCAATCACGCAGTCGCGCAGCCGCGGCACATGTGCGCGCCTCTGATAAGACAATCTGCTCTGCAAAGCTGAAAGTTGCAGGCGAACATGGGACAAATGCGCAGAGTCGGGGGCTGGCTGCGTGTGTCACGCAGGCTCTGACATCACTGAGGAGTTAAAAAGTCACAGGGAGGAGTTCCAGCATCAAAACAAAAAGGTCCACTCCTCCAAAAAACATGCAAGTTGGTTCATTTAAAGGTCTCCTCCAATGATGCGTAGGGTTTAGAGAGAACATCCCTCCACTGCAGCAGGAGCAGTTCACAATGGACGCAAAGGAGACTGATCCCAGCAGCTCCCCTGATGAAGCCAGGGTGAAGAGAGGCTTTGACCAAAAGTGAGTTCATTTCTTTTTGGCTTAATATCACACATGCACCTTGCAGAGAGGAACTGAACATCCTGTCAGGTGAAAGAGGTGTGTTCATGTCTCCACGTTCAAAAAATTGCTTATTCCTACATTATTAAACACATTACTCACGCAGTATTTTATCTGATGCAACAATTACAACTTGCACAACATCAATAATCTCCATCACTCCCTCCTCACCTGCTCTTATCCTCTGCAGGTTTAAACCCTATCAAATGAATATTTAAACCCGTACATACTAAAGCCCATCTCCCTCCTCGCAGCCTCAGCTTCACTCACACTCCTCGCCAGCTTTTATTTGCTAGATTGATCTCAGGAGGAAGATTCTAGATGCTCAGCAGCGACGCGCTTACAAAAACAAGAGCTCGCAGGTAAATTATTTACAGCAACCCTATATGGATGAACTGTCAGGGAGTGTTGAGATGGGGCCCTGGACGTGCTGCAGATATAGGCCTCTCTGTCCCTGTCAGGGTGTCACTGATAAAGAGGAGCATCACGAGAGTGGGTGACACAGGAAACCATGTTCTGTTGCACCACCGAACACAACGTGAGTCAAAAACATATCACACAGCTTTTGTTTTTTTGATACTCGGCCTGTTGTTGGTGGCAGAGATAGTGGAGGCCCATGATAAGATCTCAGGCCTCCACCCTGCTCCACTCCCTATAACAAGGTAACTGTTAAATGTTGACATGTGCAAGTTCCTTCATTTCTGTGACAGAAATGAAACAACAAAAAACTCTATTTGCTCCATATCAAAGCACATTCACACAAATCCACCTCAGACAATCTGGATGGATTATCCACTGAACCCAAACATGCACACGTCTGAAGTCTCCTCTTCTCCTCAGGCCACACGTGTTCTCCTGGTCGTGTGTCCACAGACTTCAGCTGTGCTTCTTGTGTTGTTTGATCACAGGGTGTTCGTCAACAGAAGTCTGACGCTGGAAAATATCAAATGCTATGGCTTTGACATGGATTACACGCTGGCAGGTACATGAACTTCAGAGTTGCTGTGTAGCAGTCTTAGACTGACCTCTTACGTCTCTCCTGAGCAGGCCACTCAAGATTTTTATGGATTTGTGTAAACGTTGACACTCTGTGTTTGTGCGTTTGTATTTATTTTAAGTTTACAAGTCCCCGGACTACGAGAGCCTGGGCTTTGAGCTGATACGAGACAGAATGGTGTCTATTGGATATCCTCATGAGCTCCTACGTTACACATATGACCCCAGCTTCCCCACACGGTCAGTTCTTAACGCCTCCTCTGTAACTGAAGCTTTGAATCACAGTTAAGTCCTGTATTTATCTCACTGTACAATGGAACTGATGCTCAGTGGAGTAACAGGATATTTTATAGGTTTTGTGTTTATACCTTATCTTTCCTGTTGCCTTTATTTGTTGCCTAGGGAACACAATCTGTGAAAGGCGTGTTATTATTTTTTACTAGTGGTGTAATCAAAAAATACAACAATTGTTTCTAAATTCAAGGATGAACCCACTGAAAACCTGTTTTCTATTGAGGATAGTAGACAAAGACGTCAATAAATAAAACTAAAAAGTTACTCGTTCTCCTCCTCCCCCTTTTCTCCCTCCATCTTTAGCGGTTTAGTGATCGACACCACATATGGGAACCTCCTGAAGGTGGACTCCAACGGGAATATTTTAGTCTGCAGTCACGGCTTCTGCTTCCTCAAAGGGTAAAGTTAAACTTTTTTAGTCAGTAAAGTTAAATATATAAACTAATGTATACGTTTGTAGACTTCTAGAAGTGAAACAAAAATGTATTCTGAGAAAGTAGCTTGGAATTAACTTTAACAAAGTGGTATTTATATAATTTGATTAAAAAAATGATGCAACCTCAGTTTAATTGAAATCTGACTCAGCCAGTTAGTTATTTAATGAGAAGGGAAACACAAACAGCTGCAGGCAGCGTGACGGTCAGCTGAGAGGACACACACACACACACACACACACACACACACACACACACACACACACACACACACATACACACACACCACTGATATCAGCTGCAGATAACAATGTTTCTCATTTATGTATTTAATAGATAATCCCAAGATTTTAAAAATAAATATTTAGAGCTCTTACATTTAAATTGATACACATTTATTTTCAGCCATGTGAGTGTGTTGGATTGTGTGTGTGTGCAGATGTCACATTGTATAATGTGTGTTTGTTCAACAGAGAAGAAATCCACAAGTACTACCCCAACAAATTCATTCAGAGAGGTGACACCGATCGCTTTTACACCCTCAACACACTCTTCAATCTGTCAGGTAGAACATGTTTCTCTTTGTTTATTAAGTGTATATTTTGACTTTCATCAGAAATGTTTATTTTTCAGTGTAATTCTGTTATTTTTGTCTTTACTCTTCAGAATTATTTTTCCATTTTTGAATTAATATTTTGTTTGCTAGAATTTTGAACTAACTGAAAAAATAAAAGTAAATAAACCTGAATACGTCATGTGATTGGCCGGTGTTTTCTTTTTGCACCTGCAGAGACGTATCTCTACTCCTGCTTTGTGGACTTCTTCACCAGATGCACAAGATACACAAAGTGAGTTTTATCGCCCCCATGAGCTTGTTAGCTGTCTTCCTTCTTCTGTTCCCTCTCAGCTTTGGACTATAGTAAATCAGCTGATGAACGAATAATTATTCAACCTCTCTTTCTCTGCTGTTAAATCTGCTGCAGCCTCCTGAAAGGTTACCAGCACGGAGACTTGTTTATGTCCTACAGAAGCATGTTCCAGGACGTTCGAGATGCCATGGACTTCATTCACGATACGGTGAATCAACACAACACGTCATGTAAGAAGTACAGCAGATGTGTGTCATAGTTTATCCATATACTAAATGTAAAATCCATGTGCTGTATAGGGAATTCTGAAAGAACGAACTATCAAGAATTTGGAGAAGTACGTAATGAAAGATGTGAGTAAACTGCCAACGTTAAGCACCACAATGTATTTTATTTTGAAAACAAATGGCTGAAATTTTAAATTCATATTTTTTTTTCAGCCAAATATTTCTGTTCTCTTGACTCGGATTAAAGAAGTAGCCAAGATTTTTCTTGCCACCAACAGTGACTTCAGCTACACTGAGGTGAGGAATACAAAAACTGACAATTTAAAGGAAATTAAAGGAAAATAGAGACTTTTAAAGTTATTCTCACCTCTTTTTTTTGTCTTTCTCTTCAAGGCCATTATGAAATACCTGCTTGAAAGTAATATTAAGGTAAGGCAATCTTAATTTAGTTTTGAATTCTTTGGAAAATATAATGTTTATGTGAATTTAACATAATTTTTCAATCTAGACTGCAAATCCGAAAAAGTCCTGGCGCTCCTTCTTTGACCTTGTGGTCGTGGACACCAGAAAACCTCTATTCTTTGCTGAGGGGACGGTGCTAAGACAAGTGGACACGGTACCAAAGAATCTCTCACGCTGCAGATTTACAATGATAACAGTGGCCGACGGCAGCTCCTGATAATGTGTTGTATTTCTAACACAGGACACAGGAAAGCTTCGGATCGGGACGTACACAGGCGACCTCCAGCATGGGACCGTCTACTCTGGAGGTGAGATTCAGAGTTTAGATGTTTATTTTCAGAGGATTAGAAGCAGCAACAAATAAACGCTTACTTCATCTTTACTTGCTCCGGCAGTTTTAAGTATTTAAGCCTTATTGGTAAATTCAATTTGGCCTTTTTGATCACCAGGCAGAAACTAAACTACTAGAGAAGGTTTGACTCCTACAGGCATATTATTGAGATTATTCTTTATCAAACACTTAAAAGCACAAGCTTACTCTTCACAAGACTAGATAACTGATGGAATGAACAGAAAGGCCTTACAGGACCCCTGTGTTTCTTGGCTGCAGGATCCTCGGACATTGTGTGTGATCTGCTGGACGTCAAAGGTAAAGACATTCTCTACGTCGGAGACCACATCTTTGGCGACATCCTCAAATCTAAGAAGCGTCAGGGCTGGAAGACCTTCCTGGTTGTGCCAGAGCTCTCAAAGGAGCTGCACGTGTGGGAGGAGAAGAAAAGTGAGAATAAACATGATATTGTATCATCGTGATCTCTTTAGTGGGTTTCAGAGATTTGACATTTGCCGGGGTTGTTTTTATTTGTTTTTCAGATCTGTTTGAGGAGCTGAAATGTCTCGACATCTTCTTAGCAGAACTTTACAAGTGGGTTTATGTCCTTCTCTTCATTTATCTCATATTTTTAAATGTTGATAAGCCCTTAGTAAACAGTCAATGATGAACTAATAACAAATTCAAATACAATACATTGATATATGATGATATATATAATATATATAATGATCTAAAAGCATCCCTGATTTATCTGCTATGGCATGTAAACTATTTTGGATCACATACAATTGTTTAACAAATAACATATCCATCATCAGTAGCTGATGTCTAAATTGTCAGTAAATCAATCAATTGTGCCTCTTCAGTATTTGTTAGGATGGTAAAAATCGTTCAAATATTTATTCATAATTCGCAGCTCCTATTTCAAGGTAACGAGATATATTCGCTGCCACTAGATGTCGCACTAGCACCAGCATCTCCGGCTTAGTGGGTTCTCAGCAAGCTGTGTGAAGGCCCAGTGAGCGTGGCCCCTAAACAGTGCAAATAATGAAGTGCACTTGGATACACGAGAGCCACTGGTGAACAGGGGCCTCAGATTGAACATTTTATATTTACACTGTTGTGCTTCACAAACCAGCAAGTTGTTAATATTCCCTGTGTTTGTGGTTTGAAGGCATCTGGACAGCGGCAGTCGAGAGTGTCCAGACATCAGTGCCATTCAGACACGAATGAAGGTGAGCTCCATTACACTAGATAGAGTAAGTACTACAGTGTTTTTATTTGAACTACTATTGGCAAGAGGAAACACGTCACCATGTTTCTTTCTTATTAAAGGAACATCTGCCAAAAAATAAAAGTTCTCTGTAGATTAATTCCACACATTTGCTGTGACGATATGATGGTACCATGGTTTTCTGTCCTGCCCTCGTTTCTGATGTCTCTGATGTTGCTTTGTGCTCTCAGGTGTTGACCTACAGGATGGACATGTCCTACGGTCAGATGGGCAGCCTCCTGCGCAGCGGCTCCAGACAGACACTGTTCGCCAGCCAGCTGATGCGTTACGCAGATCTTTACTCATCCTCCTGCATCAACCTGCTAAACTACCCTTTCAATTACCTCTTCATGGCTCCTCCTGTCCTGGTCAGTCACCTCCCTGCTGCACAAACACCTGCACAGTTAATAAATCTACAGCTCTTCGTGGTCATGGTCATTCTTCATCCCTCACTCTCATTGTTTCAGATGCCCCACGAGGTAGCAACTGAAATCGTGGCCGACTTTGCTTCATCAGACCTCTCTGCCGTCTCCAAATACCTCATCAAAAACTGAGGTAATTATTGTTATGATGCAGAATTAGCATTTTACCTCTTCTTTACTGTCTTTTGTTTGCAGTTAACACCACAAGGATTCATTATTAACATGTTCCTTTCTTGTAGGACTGAGATGAGACAGAGGAGGAACGTTCTACAGAAATCTTCAAATGACCTTCTACATGTTACAGTCCCCATCTTTGCAGGTGGGGTTCGTTGCAGCTACGATGCCTCTCCTTCAACAAACAGCTAACCTACTGCTCCACCCACTGGACATGAAATACATTCCTGTGCAACATTTACCAGACACATCGATAGAGGAAGCTGTGATGAGATTTTATAATTCAAAGAAAGAACAGGGTTATTGTATATAAGAGTGACAACTTCTTTTTTCTGCATTTTTGATGTGATGTTTAAGAAGTAATGTATTTGTTGTTTGAGCAACGTCTGTTAAATTATTCCAATAATTTGTCATTAAAGGAACATAACTTTTTCTAATGTTGTTAGAGGATCTCAGCTGATATTGAAGGTTCAGTGTGTATGATATAGGTAAATGGGATCTTTTTGGGATGTTTTTACTTGTGTGTTTCATCTAAATTGTACAAATAGTTGTTTTTTTTAACCCTACAATAAGCCTTTATATTTAAATACTTCATATTTACACCTGGAGCGGGTCCTCTCTACAGAGGCTGTTTTTTAAAGTAGTCCAGACTGGAAAAACTGAACCTTTTGAGTTTTTATGACAACCACAGGACAAGCTGGAGCCACTCCCAGCTGACACTGGGTGAGAGACGGGGTGTGGTCACAGGCTCGATGTGCGGAGACAAAGAATAACTGACATTCACACCTACAGACAATCAACCTCATGCCTTTCTGTATGTATCTGGAGAAAACCCACACAGACACAGGGAGTACATGCAAACTCCACACAGAAAGACCCCCGCCCAACCGATACTCAAACCACAAACCCTCTTGCTGCAAGGCAAATGCTGACCACTGCCCCACCGTGCCGCTCCATCGTTTGTTCATTACTTTGAGTCACCGAATAGTTTCTGGAAAACATTTATTGCTGTTCTTAGTTCTCTCTGTGCTGAAAACTAAAATCCACACCTCTCATACCTGGGTTCATAAAATCAGAGGAACAAGAACTGGAAGGTGCCAGAGGACAGTTGGAGAATGTGTTTCTGTTCTTTTGTGTGAACTATGCCTTTAAGGTTTCCGTTGCCATTACACCTGTTGTCCACTGGATGGCAGCGAACCACCCCTGCATCCAAGTGTGTGAAATGACTAAAAGAGTCAAGAATATTTTTATTCACTGCAAAAAGGTTCAAATCTCCCACGAATCACCATGGAACCAGTCAAACACCATAAATGCAGCAGCTCATCTCTGACAGGATTTACACCACTGTATGTTTTTGTATTTCTCTAAATCTAATTTTGCTCTTTGTAGCATCTTCAGGTATCAGGATTCTAAACTAGTGTCTCCACACATCAACAAAAGCAGTGAAATAACCCAGATGTGATGTTTGTGCTGCTTCTAACACGTGAACCCTGGTATGCACTCGCACACACACACGGAAACACACACAAACCTGTGAATTGTTGTAGTTCACACACTGTGTATTTGCCCCTTGTTCTGTCTGTGGTTCAAACAATCCTGCTCCCACAAGAGCTGAGGCTTTATTAAGAGATAGCTCAGAGGAATGTGTTCTCTCTCTCTCTCTTCACCATACACACACACACACACACACACACACACACACACACACACACACACATATGATATCAGCACTCACATGCGTTTATCTATAAGTTGTATTTTTCTTTGTGTAGCAAACACACATAGTCCTTTCAGGGCTGAGGTGTCACGAGAATCACACTTTTCCATCACATGTATTTTTCATGAAGAAGAGGAGGAGGAGATGAAGAGGAGAACTTCAGGGATCAGGAAGAAGTTGACAAAGAGTTTGAAGTTTGGCTTAAAGAAAGAAGAAGCATCATTTTATCCATGTGGAATCTGACATATGTGCGTTTACTGAGATGCTTCCAACAACTGCATTCAAAAACAACTTTTCAAAGACAAAGGACGTGTTTATTTGATTCATGCAAATGTTGAAGAATTAATTAATCGTTCAACCTTAATTATTTTCTTTCAGTTTGGATTTTAAGACATTTGCTTCTGCAAGGTTTTGCTCCTTCATATATAGCTTCAGAGGAAGTCCAAATTAGGAAATCCCCACTACATGTTAGTGGTGCCTCCTCCTCCTTGTACACACACACACACACACACACATACACACATACACACACACATGCGTTTCCCAGATGATTTCATTTCCTGAATGAGAGCTATTTCTGTTTATTTGGATTGCTCTTGTCATTGTCTGCCTGTCACCTGTATTCATTGTTTTTTTCTTTTCTACTCATTTAATTGTGTTTTAATTTCTCACCTGAACAAATTGTCAGTGTTAAACTGTCCTGGCTGCTTTTTAATCCACTTTTCAAACCACTGATTCAATATGTTTTGTCCTTGTGCACATAAACTAACCTCACCAACCATCAGCATTTTTACACAATGTTCTTGACATAAACTTTCATTTGTTTCGTGTTATTAATTCATGTTAATGTGAGCGATTTTAAAATGAAGCCAGTTCTTCAATTGTCCTGTCATGTGGTCGACTCTGCAGATGAACACACTTGATTTAAAAAGCTGGCTGATGAGTGTGACCCCAGACTGCTCTGTATGCATGACATGTATTATCTGGATTTATTATATTAACAGAATAAATGGTTGTGGCAAACTGTAAGAAATGATGTTAAATATATATCTCACACTCCTGCATGTGCAGTTAATTGTGCTTCAACAAATCTCTAACTCTGACTGAAAATAAAACCTCAGCCCTCAGTAGAAAAACTGTTTGTTTCTTCGTTCTATTTGGTCTTTGTCTCCAGTGGGGGTTAAATCATAGCTCACATCCTTGTCCAGACAAACACACACATACACACCTTGTCACATTTGCTCTGTGACACCCTCCACCCATCCACGCAACACAATGTACACTGCACCGTGACACGAGAGCTGGCTCCTCATCCACTAACGCACCTGTACAGCCGAGGTGTGAGAAGTATCAGTTTCTCTGTGCTGCTGTTTCGAGTTTCACCCTCATGACACTGCAGAAATATCTGTTTATCTTAAAATAACAAAATAGGCTAATGATACCTTTAATAATCATGTGAACATCAGAGACAATCAGACACAATCAAAGGTTCAAAACTATTACATCAGTTATCTGTGCAGTTTTGTATCTTATTAAATGTGTTTGCTGAGGCCTTCAACACCAAATTTTGGTTTTCAACCTTGTTTGAAATTAATTTAGTTATTTACAGTTTGCTATTTAAATTTGAAACCTTTTTCACACAACAATCTTTAACCAACTCAATGAGTAAATTCCCCTTTGTATTGTAAGTTTCAGCTTTTACCACTAAATTAAACATTCAAACTCTTTATTTATGTCAGCTAACATAACAGGACGATCTCAGCATGTTTATTTTACATTTAAATTGTGTTTAAACCAGCTTTAACTTCACACTGTGTAGCTATAATAGTTTAAAAACTTGAAATGATTGAGGTTAAATATAGACATTTATTAAGCACCATCAGTTTTTTACCAAGTGAAAACTGTTATCATTAAATTATTAAAAACTCACCAACAAGTCGTATTCACACTGTGGTTATTTATTTTTACCATTTTTTCATTAGCAAGCAAACGGGACCGTTACCAGGCCTGAGGTTTCAGAAAAGATTCATTAACATTTTATTGAGGGATTTTTCTTGATTATTTATTGTTGTTAATCAGACATCAGAGTGGCTGATCTGAAGTCTGCAATCCCATCTGAGAACCTCTTAGATGATTTATTTTAAACATTTAATTTGGCTTTTCAAATTAATTTTTTTCAAGAAAACGCAGCAACTCAAAACATGAATTGAATCATCTTTATTCAGAGAGGTGACAGAGACAAATAACACAAGTGACTGAAACAGATAATTAAAAACAAAATTACACACTCACATTTCTTTCCAATAAAGGATTTTATAGTGATTTAAATTATGTTGAATAAATGAATTTGCTGCAGTGTGATGAAAACCACTCCTGAACAGCAGACTCAAACAAAGGGGAGAAGAAAATAAACAGTTTTACACCAGGCGGTTTGAGTAGGTTGTTTTTTATGTGTGTGGTGAAAAGCAGATGTCATTATCTCATTTGCTTCTCTTTAAATACGGTGCAGTTAAATCTGCACTGTGGCTTCTCTCATTTACATTCAAAGCTGCTCTGACATGTTGGGTTTCATTGCAGGATACTTGCTGCCTCTATGCAGTCAGATAACTGCAGAAGCACCACCGTCCCCCATTCCACACATTCCAGGATTTCCCAGCAAGCATTGCAAGCAAGCCTAAACAAGTCACGTTCTTTACTCCCAGAGAATTTCACACAGTCAAGTGACTGAGGTCTCCTTTTGCTTTCCTTTCACAGGGCAAACCACTAAACACACTTTCACACCTGAGCCACTTCTTTGCAGAATCCCAAAGTTTCTTTTTGACATTACAAACTGGTTTTCATACACGGTCTGGACAATCTGATTTTAAACACTGCAGCGTGTAATCTGTGCCCTGGACGTGTGCTTCCTCTCTGCTTTTTAACAATTACTCGTGTCCTTCTGCAGCAGCTTGTAACAGCAACTGGACTGTGGTTAAACATTTCCACCCGGTGAGGTCTGCCGACAGTCATCAAAACAAACAAACCTCTTTACTCTCTTACTTCAGGGTTCAAACACGAGGCACACACACACACACGCACACACACACACACACACACACACACACATATACACACACACACAGGAGCAGTGACACCTAATCTCAACACAGAAAGAAAGGAGAAAAAACGAGAGGGGTGGAGGGGGGGAGAAAGAGAGAGAAAGAGAGGGCCTTGCTCCCTACATTCCTCCCTCCCAAACCTCCCCTCCCCCATCGACCTGCTACCACCGAGGATGCTCAAAAACACACATCAACCCCCCACCTCACCCACCCTTCTTTCCTCCCCCCATCTGCTTATTTAACCATCACTGATACACACGGTCGCAGTGTTTGGTGTGACAACAACACAACATACAGGTGAAGACAAACACACAAGAGTCAACTTTATGGAAAAAGAAACATGGATTTAACAGAGAAATGTGTTCAGCGTAGAAAATTAAGAAATACTAAAAAGTCAGATTGAGATAAAGGACAGATTTCATTAGAGGCATCAGTTTTATAATTGTTAATATGTTTACCATTTAAATTTCACTTATTGGCTTTTATGTTCACTTTATTTATAATATTCATGCATGAGCTGTGACATAAACTAAAACTTGGGTAAATGACGACTTCCAATCCATGT